CCCACATTTTCTAAGATTACAAATACAAGTTTAAAAAATGGCCAGGCGTGGTGGCTTACACCTGTAATCCCATCACTTTGGGACGCTGAGGCAGGTGGATCACTTGAAGCCAGGATTTTGAGACCAGCCTGGGCAACATAGTGAAACCCTATCTCTACTGGAAAAAAAAAAAAAAAAGAAAGAAAGAAAAGAAATTAGCCAGGCATCGTCGCAAGCGTCTGAAATCCCAGCTACTCCAGAGGCTGAGGCACAAGAATCACTTAAACGCGGGAGGCGGAGGTTGCAGTGAACCGAGATTACACCACTGCACTCCAGCCTGGGTGACAGAGCAATATTCTGTTTCAAAAATAAATAAATCAATAAAAGTTTAAAATAAAAATTTGACAAGCACACACTGGGGCTTCAACTTGCCTCTTTTTATTTAATAATATTCTGGATACTCTTCCATCTCAGTGAAACAAACCTAACCATCTTTATTATGATTGTTTTTCCAAAACATATTTTCCCTCTTGTTCCCTCTCCCCTACCTTCAGGAACCATTTTAAGAGTGAGTTTTTCCTTTATCCCTCCAGCATTGCTTTTTGCAAATATAACAAAATACGTGTAATATTTTCTCCCTTTCTTCTATCAAAAGAAAGCATAGCGGCCGGGCATGGTGGCTCACGCCTGTAATCCCAGCACTTCGGGAGGCCGAGACAGGTGGATCACCTGAGGTCAGGAGTTCAAGACCAGCTCGGGCAACACGGTGAAACCCCATCTCTACTAAAAATACAAAATTAGCCAAGTGTGGTGGCTCAGGCCTGTAATCCCAGCTACTTGGGAGGCTGAGGCAGAAGACTCACTTGAACCTGGGGGTTGTAGGTTGCTGTGAACCAGTATCATACCAAAGCACTCCAGCCTGGGCGACAGAGTGGGACTCTGTCAAGAAGAGGAAAGAAAGAGAGAGAGAGAGGGGGAAAGGAAGGAAGGAGAGAGAGAGAGAAATAGAGAGAGAGAGAGAGAGAGAGAGAGAAAATGGCATGTACTGTTCACTTTTTGCCTCACCTAAAGATATTTCCCAGGGATTCTACATTCAGCACACTGGAGCCCTCCATGTTCCTTTTCACAGCTGCATAGCAGTCTGCTGTGCCATTCTGCTGTTTATTCAACCAGAGCCCTATTGATGGGCATTTGGAGGGTTTCCAATCTCTTGGAACTAGAAGAATGCCACAATGCATAACCTCATGCAAATATGGTTTTCTATTTTTGCCAGTGCATATCTAGGACAGATTCCTAGAAGTGGAATTTCTGGGCCAATGAGTGAATGCTAGATGTGGCCAAACTCCCCCGTATGACTGGTCTTATTTTGCGTTCCCATGGCCAGGTTTGGGGCGACGTGTTTTGCCTGCAGTTTGGCCAGGAGAAGAGCTTTGGATTTTAGTCCATACCTTGTCTTTTTGTTTCCCCAGTTACATGTTCCCATGTTACACCCGATGTTCTTTGCACAGTACTTGGGCATTTGTTCAGTGAACTGTTACTGAGCTTCTGGAACATGCCAAGCCCAGTGATGGGTACTGCTTAATATCTGCTATTAATCAGTTCCCAGGTTAGGGGGGGTTTACTGACTCTTGAGCAATCAACTGATTTGATGTAAGGTTAAATTGTTCCATGAGACTGTAAATGAGTGTGTGTGTGAGTGTGTGTGTGAGTGTGTGTGTGTGTGCGTGTGTGTAGGGTTGTCAGGCAGGAATCAAGGAGGTGTCTGGGAGAAAGATGACCCTGAAGCAGCATTTGGAACACTGCTTCTCAACCAAGGGCTATTTTGGCCCCATGAGACATTTATGATCGTTAGGACTGGGGAAGGGGT